ACACACACACACACACACACACACACACACACACACACACACACACAAACACACACACCCCTCTCTGGGAAAAGTTGGGTAAGGTGTACATACATGTAATCCCAGCATTGGGAAGGTGGAGATAGGAGGGGTAAAATTCAGGATCAGTTTTTGACTGCATGACAAGTTTGAGATCAATTGGGCTACATGAAACATTTTCTAAAAATAAAAATAAAAAATAAAAACTGAATCCCCACCCTTCATGTTTGTTACTAAGTATTGCTGAGTCGTGTGATTGTGGATCTTTTATGCTTTATTCTTCAGACTTTTCTGTCTACGTTTGACTATTTGATAATTTTTATGATGAAAAAATAGTGGCATGGTGTAGTCTTGAAGGTGCTCTGTATAGGTCTTTTTCGTTTTTGGTTATGTGTAGGTCTTTGTTAGTCTGTATAGGTCGTGTTTGGACAATGAGGATGAGAGCGGTTATTATTATCAGTACGCATTGCTCACACATGTGCCGTCCAGGTGCTTGTCCAGTCCTCTATTTACAAAACGTATGTAGCAGTCAATACATCACCACTGTTAGCTAACAGGATATAAGAAAGATAGAAAAAAACTTACAATATCTCTAACTCCTGAGCTCTTTGGTATTTCAACACTGTTAGCTAACACGATATTAAAAAAAACAAACAAGCAAAACCTTACACTCTCCCTAACTTGCAAGTTCGTTGGTACCCTCTCGGGTCTGCAAAGAGCCTGGATCCCTTTATTTACACTGTTTTCAGTAAACTTGAAGTGGTACCCTTCATGAAGAAATACCGCCTATCAGAAATATGGGCATGCTATGCAGTCCGTGTTAATCTCAAATTTGTGATCCTCCTAACTCAGTCTCTTATCTGCTGAGATTTTTGTTATTATAAGATACATAGTATTTAGTTTGCTTATACTTTTAGGGCTGCATTTAACAAGACACTGTTCACATGCATGTGAACAAACATGTGTATATATGTGCACCCATTGTGTGCACGCCATACATAAACACTACAAAGCACTACACCAAACATCTTCAGTAGATTTTCTCTAGATAGTAACATTATAGACCATGTTCATTTTTAGTTTTAGAATTCGTGATAAGCCATATTTCCATATGAAATGATAAATAAAATTTTATACCACACAATACATCTTCCATGGCTTTTTTTTTTAAATCTAAGGCTCACAGGATTGGAAAAATTATATTATTCCTGGGTGAAAGTTTTCTTTGCTTCAAAATATAAGACAGTTAAAGTGAAATTCCTATTTTCTCGATGTTTTTAAAGGGTGAAGTTGGCCAGCATGGTCCTCCTGGGCCCACGCTGTTTGTAGAGCCACCTGATCTGAACCTCTATAAAGGAGAAAAGGTAAGCCCCACTTACCTCCTAGGTCACCTTGTGAAGCTTGGATGGGAATCCTTTTGGGCACAGGCCCAGGGCTGGGCTACCGGGCTCCATCAAACGAATCTCAAAGCTGCCTCACTTGGCCGGTGCTCTCATCAGTCCGGTTAGTCTGGGTTGAGTGCTGAGGCTCAGAGCCTTCCAGTGTTCTCAGGTTCACTCAGCCGCCGAACCACAGACTGGACATGGGCTGAGCTAAGTACCCCAGATCGCACTACCCCGAGTCTTGTTCCGAAGTGCAGACAGCAAAGGTCATAGGGGGATCTAGTTGCCTTTCCAGGTTCGGTGATGGGCTTTATGGTTTGATAGCTGAAAAGCTAACACATGCATAGGGCTGGATACGTGGACTTTGGGAAAATATTGATTCATCTGTCCGTGGGTAATTGATCCATCTGTGCAACACGGGTTTTACCAATGCCAGATGCATGGTCTGTAGTTGTTTTTAAGTTATACCCAAAGTCTTCTACCTTACCCAAACAAGCCAGTCCTCCCAATAACTATATCCCCAACCTTGGACCTGCAGGCTGAGTCCATAGCTCTCCTCCACGCCCTCTGTGCTTCTCACACTCGTCCAAATAAAATCAGGGATAAAAATGCACTTAGGTCTGAGTTGATAATTTGATTACTTACCTTGAAAAAAAGAAAGCCTAATGAGAAACAGGTCGTTAAAAAAAATGATTTATGAAATGTATGGAACTCAGTGAATACTATGTAATCATAATATATCCATCATACTTTTTAGGGTATAAAAGGAATTCCTGGAATGATTGGCCCTCCGGGACCTCCAGGACGCAAGGTAATTTAAATTCCTTTCATTTAATTCCTTTCATTTATTTATGTGAGATAATATTTTCAGCTGATTTTTCTGTGTGGTTTTCTCATCATTTTAACTGCTAGCATTTCCTACTGGAAATTCTCCTTGTCTTACTATAATCTTATAAACCCCCACTGTAAAGGAGGTGCTCTCTCTTCAAGCTGTTGCCAGTGTTTTTGTTTTTTGTTTCTCGTTTTGTTGTTGCTTTTGAAATTAAGAAAGTGTTGTTGACTGAAACCTTCTAATGCTGTCATCTTTTAAAGGGAGAGCCTGGTATCGGAACCAAAGGAGAGAAAGGTATCCCTGGGTTCCCAGGACCCCGGGTAAGGATCCTTAGTCCTAAGCCTCAGTGAGATTGAAAACATTGTTCTTCCATACACTCATGAGGCTATGCCTGTATAGCCATGAACTCAAACATGAAAACTATCCCACACACAGTAATGCATTTTGCCCAAGAATTAGGGTGCCCCCTTCCATGTATGCCATTTTGATACAACAGGCATGCACAAGACTGGACCACTGGGGACAGGGGACAGGTCTGTGGCTGCTCCTGTGGGCTCAGCTTTAGGGTGATAGGCACCTGTGCTGGTTAGTGTAAATGCATTTTGTATACTAAGGTGTCTAGGTATGGGGGCCTCTCAGGAAAGCGCTCTGCCAGCTCCTAGGTGCTCTCTCACATTAGTCAGTAATGTACGCCCCACGGAGCCACTGTGGAGACCAGTTTCCGGTAGGCTCGCATCACCCCAGCGCTGCTACTGATTGGTCCGTTCTTGACTTTTGTGTCATTTTTCTTGCTGAAGTTGCACAGAGTAACTCTTCATCTCCATGCAAATGAATGTACTGTAGATTATTATGCTAAATGATTTAAATTGGAACGGTGGAAAGAGCAAACGCACACACATCCTCCTAATTAAACACGGGTAATAATGTGAATTTTCCGAATAAGACTAAATAAAGGTCAAGGAGAATGCCACATGGCATAAGCACATAGAATCCATGTTATGCTTACTTCACTTTATTCTGCTGCATATCGTTGCATAGCAAGACTAAATAGCAATACAGCAAGGCTGACAAAGATAAAGATAAAAGCATCATGCCTTATGTTTGAGTTCTGCTTGTTGATTTTCTGTAATTATTAGGGCGAGCCTGGTTCCCATGGATCTCCAGGTTTTCCAGGATTCAAGGCAAGTGTGCATCCTAGTAGAGATGAAGAATTGTGTTTAATTTGTACTGTTGTGTGTGCCCAGCAGAGGGAAGAATTGTGTGTAAGTTGTAGCGTTGTGTGTGCCCAGCAGCAGAGGTGAAGAACTGTGTTTAAGCTGGACTATTGTATGTGAGCACTGACAGAAATTGGATGGATTTTCTTTGCTTTTGTTTAGGTCTTAAATTTATTTTAAATTTATTTATTTTATGTGTGTGTGTGCACATGCGCATGTATAATTCTGCATGCATGGAGCTCAGAGATCAGTTTGAGGAAGTCTGTTCTCTTCTCCCACTGTATGGGTTCTAGAGATTGAACCTCAGGCTTTGTGGAAAGAACCCAACTCACTGACACATTTCACCCTCAATCACGTATTTGTGTTTGTTTTAGTTTTTTTAAAAGGATTTATTTTATTTTGGCTATATATTTAAATTATGTATATTTATATTTTATAGAATATGTTATATTTTACATTTATATAATTTATCTAGATATGTATTTATATAATTTTAAATTATATCATCCATTTATTAAATTAAGCATCCATTTATATAATTTAAAAATATACACAGTTATATGTACACGTGAGTGAAGGTGCCCACAGAGTCTGGAGGACATCAGAATTTATGAGCCACCAGACATGGGTGCTAGGAACCCAACCCCAGTCCTCTACAGGAATAATATATACTCTGTCATCACACCATCTTTTCAACCCTCTTTTTGAGTTTCTGCAACAGGGTTTCATGTAGTTCAGACTGGCCTTGAACTTACTACCTAACTATGTAACTGAGGCTGGTCTTGAACCCCTGATCCATTTATCCAATTGCCTCTCCCTCTTAAGGGCTACACACCTGGCTCAGATACCTGCATTTTGTGAATTATACAATGGGTCTCAACCTGTGGTTGTAATGTCTTTGGCAAACCTCTGTCTCTAAAAATATTTACATTATAATTCATAGCAGTAGCTAAATGAGAATTATGAAGTAGCAATGAAAATAATGGTATGGTTGGGGGTGGTCACCACAGCATGAGGAACTGTGTTAAAGCATTGCAGCATTAGGAAGGTTGAGAACCGTTGAATTACAGGATTGTGTTGTTGGTTTTGAAAACTGAGTTACAAAACTGACCCGATCCCAGAGTGGTGAAGACTGCCCAGAGTTTCTGTGAGTATCCGCTGCTTACATTAGGCGGGAGTGAGGTGATCCCAGCTCTGCTCAACCGGCTGTTTGAGTGTGTCTCTGGTCATTCGTAGGGAGAACAAGGAGCGGCTGGAGATCCTGGACTGTCTGGCTTTCCTGGTGCAAAGGTAAAAATGTGAACCCATGGCAGAGAAACTTTTAGGCCATTCTGCTATCAATTGAAGGTTTTAGAATATTTCGCATAATCAAGCAGTGTAACTTTTGAAAAAACAGGTGTAATCTTATAAATGCTATTTTCAGGCAGGCTATGTATTATGTATACGTAGTTTATTTTCATACCATTGCCTTATTAACGAGTACACGAAGCACAGTTATGTTTATATTTGAGAAGCAATTTTTTTGAAAGTGAATAGTAACAAGAGCTTTAGTACTCTCAGGAGATCATCAGCTTTTGTGGCACTGGGGAGCTTTTCCCTTTGTTTTGTAACCTCTTTTGTAACAATATCCAGGGCTTGTTCAGGGGAAGCCTGGGACTCTGGAGGTGGGGGTCGCGATTAAGGGGGAGACAATATTTTGCCTTTATCCTGAAACACTGTTTCAGGTCTTGCTAGGTGACTGAAATGTTTATGCTCGAATGCCCCATTAGATACCAATGTTCAAAATCTTCCTAAGAAACTTGGTGTCTTACATGATGTTTAATTTATGGGCACACAGTGGGAATTTTGGTAGAGCTCCTGCTTTTTCTTTTGTCATATGTTTGTCCGTTCATTGTTTTCTCCTGAGTGTAGGTGAGAGGCCAGGTTCCTGTTAGTTCTTCTGGAATACCTTGACCAACTCTCTTCTCTAGCCAGCTGATTGTTTTTACTTCTTTGATATATGTGCCTGTGACCTTCTAACCTTTTGCTTAATGCTAGGAAGTATTAATGTTATTTCGAAGAAAAGTAAATGAATGAATGATTTTAGGGGGATCCCGGAGATCGCGGGGACCCAGGACCACCGGGTGCTTTGTTAACTCCCCCTCCTCCACTCAAAGGTTTGTGTTCACTTTAATTCTTCCATAACTTATACAGAAATGGACTAGATGGGTCCAGATAAGTGAGTTTGCTCTAGTATTCCTGTGCATTGCACACCAGGGAGGATTAAAGCGTAAATATTAGTATTTAGTTACTTTTCTCATTGCCTTGACAACGTATCTGAGAGAAGGAGAGGCGGGCTTTGTTTTGGTTCACGGTTTCACGATGCTAGGGAAGGCGTGGTCCATAAACTCTGTGGTGGCACAGATTTTAGCAGAGGTTTGCGTGGGGCAGCCGTTCTGGGAGCAAGCAGACTAACTGGAACCAGGCACAACTTTAAAGTTCCTTCCCTATTTTGTCTAACTTCCATCATCCTGGCCTCACCCCTCAAAGACTGCAGAGCCTCCGAAACCAGCACCACTGAGTGACCCTGGAGTCTTCAAACTTGCGAGGGACATTTCAGCTTCAAGCCATAACAGTTACTGAGATGATGTGACATTCAACATGCCGGGAAAACTTCACATCCTGGTTCATGTCCCATTGGCATAAGACATCAAATTTTATTTCAGATTGTGAAGATGTAGTGGATATTTTTATTATTTAAACTTTCAGAAAAAAAAGTTTTTCTTTAACCGTTGAAAAAAATGTGTGAGGTGATTTGGCTAGCAACTACCAAAATACCAAGATGCCTGTGAAAAGAGATGCCTAAGTCAGTGTCAGAGAACTCTGCCAGAGAGGACCCAGCTCGACATATCTCATTTAAAATGTGTCAAGAAATTACAAAAATGTCTCCAACCTGGATTTTACCAAGCCTCACAGACTCCTGAGTTTCAAGACATGTGTGGACATTTGTCTAATTATATCTGTTGTTCCTTTATCAGGTCCTCCAGGGGACCCAGGGCCCCCTGGCCGCTATGGAGAAATTGGAGATGTTGGGCTACCAGGTCCTCCTGGGCCCCCGGGAAGACCAGGAGAAACTTGTCCAGGTAATAGTCTACCCTATGTTACAGTGGATTTCCTACATCATACCCAGACCAGCTGTAATCCTTAATTCTGGCTGACATAGAGGTTGCCTTCAGAGTCTTTGTGAAAGACACTTGCCTGTGTACACTCCAGGCCCAGAAGGCTAAGCGTTGTGTTGTAACAATGGTCCCGAATTTCTAATGTCTCCAAATTCAAGTCAATCAAGGGAAGTAACACAGGTTCCTTTCCACCCACATACACACAACATATGTTATTATAATATAGATATTATATATGTGTGATACATATGTTATATATTGTATGTATTTTCTCAGTCAACCAGAGCTGCCGGAGGCAAGTATCTGTGTGACAGGCCTTCCATCAGATTTCCACTTGCAGAGAGGATTTGAAGCTTCTGTTGGAGCTAGTGTTTACTTACCTGAGCTACCATTCTGGCAGATTCTCCCAGCTGACGTGTACTCTTAAAACTCCATCCATCCACGAGGGTTTCAATATTCTATGTGAGATGAACAAATCAACACAATGATTTTAAAAACCTTTTACGTAGAGGGAAAGACTCTTCCTCCCTGGCCACAAATAAAATCAAGGCAATCATAAGCCCCATGACATTTACCAGAAGCCTAGGGGAGTTTCTCGCTGCCATAAGGACCAAGGGCCCCTCCAGGAGCTGTGCTCGCCAGTATTCCAGAAAGATCGGGAATAGCAGTTTGAAGCTTGTTTGTATTCTGTGAACCAGGTGAACAGAAGAAACCCGGCAGGAGGAAAATCTTGAGTAAATGTTTTGCCCGACCCGTGTCTCTTGTATTTACTGAGAAAATTTAAAAAGTTTGGTGAGATGCTGAACCACTAACTACCAAGTTCTTGTTCACTTCTCCCCAAAACTAACTTCCTCCTCATTTAGGGTATGGCAAGAGCAATGTCAAAAAGCTTTGTCTGGTGTAGTCAGTCTTTGGGTTACAGTATGGGTTTAATTGACCCAGGATTATATAAATCAGAAAGAATACTCTGTTGGTCAGAGAAACGTTGAACTCTGGTCTTAGCTTTCTTCTTTGGGGTTTGTTTATAATAAAATCGTGCCTCCAGTAGATTGAAATAAAAAAAAACCCGTGGGAGACACATATTCAAATACACTGGAAGGTTCTAAATTCCTTTAAAAGGTTATTAATCCTGTGCTGGGAAGATGGCTTGGTCAGTAATTGCTTCCCACACAAACATGGGCCTGATTCAAGCCCAGGAATCACCTAGGGGTAGAGGTGCACTCTTGGAATCGCAGGGATAGTGAGGCAGAGGAAGGCTCGTTCCTGGGGCTCACTGGCCAGATAGCCTAGTAAATGGGTGAGTTCAAGGCCAGTGAGGGACGCTATCTCATAAAAGAAGATGGACAGCATCTGAGTAATGACCCCTGAGGCTAAGCTCTGGCCTCCACATAGACACACACATTCATGCATATGCCAGCCCTAACATGCACACGCAGAGAGACATGTGCACACGAATCAAATTAACTCAGTGGCTTTTGAATCTGAATATGGCCCACAGTAATACGTGTATTTATTTTGGCTAACCTTTGTACCACATTACATAAGTGTGCACACATACACTAATTAAAGTTTAGACTTCACAGGATAATTTTTGGTACACAATATCCCTATTTTCTATTCTACTCTTCTACTTTGAAATAAATCAATTTAAGGCTCACCACACTTAATTCATTCTGTGTGATACTGTAGGGTGGTCAGGCTGAGAGGTGTCATACATTTTAGCCCATTGCCTCTGTTGAAGAGGATTGGGTATTATCCCTGGCACTGGACAAGAGGTAGTATCTCGACTATCCAGTGACTAAGAAGAATCCTGGCAGGTCTTAGGGAGGGTGGGAAGATAGGCAGCTTCCAAATCATAGAAGCATTTGCATTTGCAGTCAGTACATCAGTGTATAACACTCTGTGTTTTATTTAACAGTTATCTACTGAATCTAGCATGGGATATATGGGTTTCAGAGTCAGACACTTGAAACTGGACACATGCCACATGGTATAGTGGAAGACTATATATACTACACATATTATGTCACATAGCATAGTGGGAGACGATATATACTGCACATGCTACATAGTATAATGGAAGAACTGAACTATGTACTACAACATTCCAATTACCACTCTTGGCAAACTGTGTCATCCTGTATATTGTCTAAGCCTCTCTGTACCTCAGTTTCCACATCTGTAAGATGGGGTCTTGCTAGGATTAGAAGATGTGGCATGTGAGCAGGCCTTAGGATCCGATCTGATGCATAGTACCGCATCAATGTGTGATCAGTTTTTTCTACTGTGGCTGCTCTCTGTGCCTGCTATGACATAGGCGCACATAGTGGAGTAGTCCCTGCACTCCCACAGATGAACACGTTAGGCACATGCATTCATTATCTGTGCATGTGTGCCAAGAAGAAAAACTTAAAGATCTCTACCATCTACTACATACATGACTAGGAGAGCACATATTGCCTCCACTAGATGTGAGAATAGGTTTTCTTGGATTAATTTTAGGAATGAATAGGCTAAAAAGATTGGAGAATACAATACTTTCAAGTAAGTGAAATGTGTCTGTGCCAGCTAATCCAAAGAATGGGGTAAAATAAGAAAATAAGAAAATAAGAAAACATGACCCCCCCCAATACCTGTGTGCCTCCACATGTAGCTCCTTTCAGAGGCATTTTGGTGTATGGGAGAGTCAAGTTTTAAAAGACTTTTATTTATTTATTTATTTTTATGGGGAGTGTGTGTGTGTGTGTGTGTGTATGTGTGTGATTACACGCCATGGTGTGCCAGTGTTCTCAGAGGCCAGAAGAGGGTGCTGGATCCCCTGGGTCTGGAATTATAGGTACTTGTGTGTCACCTAATGTGAGTTCTGGGAACTGAACTGTGGTCCTCTAGGAGAGCAGCCAGCATTCTCTTGTAGGCATCTCTCCTGCCTCGTCTGCTAACTTTTTTACTGCACCCTGCTTTTCTTTTCCTTTAATAGCGTTTATTCAGGTTATTGTGGTGTGGCTCCTGCTTTCGATCCAACAATCAGTCTTGTTCCTCTTTTTTATGTACTCTTTCTGTGTAGCCCAGGTTAGCTTCAATTTTTATGAACATTCTGTCTCCATTTCCCAAGCACTGGGTAGCAGGTGTGCATCAATCTCTGCTATCTAGACTAGCCCCAACCCCTCTCTCTTTCTCGGGTGTGCACTTCAATTTGTGTCTGTGTGACATACCCAACTCAATGTTTGTATACAGCGAGGTGTCTAGTGGATTAACACACTGGCCATGCCAACATGGTTGTTATTGGTTTGTGTGCATATGTGCCTATATATCTTTGAAAGGAGGATTTTATTTAAGATCTTTTCTCGTAGCAGCTTCAAGTATACATTGTGTCTTGTTAACTGTCCTCTGCCTGCTGCACATTGGATCTTAAATCTTAATTTTTTAAACTTTTTTATTGTTCTTATTGAGCTATACATTTTTCTCTGCTACCATCCCTTCCTCTCTCCTCTCCTACCCTCTCCCATGATCCCCAGGCTCCCAATTTACTCAGGCGATCTTGTCTTTTTCTACTTCCCATGTAGATTAGATCTATTTATGTCTCTCTTAGGGTCCTCATTATTGTCTAGGTTCTCTGGAACTGTGAATTGTAGGCTGGTTTTCTTTGCTTTATGTCTAAAAACCAGTTATGAGTGAGTCTTTCTGGGTCCGGGTTACCTCAGTCAATATAATGCTTTCTAGATTCATTGATTTGCCTGCAAATCTCAAGATGACATTATTTTTTCTGCTGTGTAGTACTCCATTGTGTAAATGTACCACATTTTCCTTATGCATCTTCAGTCAAAGGGCATTTACATTGTTTTCATGTTCTGGCTATGAAAAATAGTGCTGCTATGAGTATAGTTGAGCACATGTCCTTGTGGTGTGATTGAGCATCCTTTGGATATATACCCAAAAGTGGTATTGCTGGGTCTTGAGGTAGGTTGTTTCCTAATTTTCTGAGAAATTGCCATACTGATATTCGAAGGGGTTGTACCAGTTATTTGTTCTTTTGATGACCAATTTTCTTGAGTTCTTTGCATATTTTGGAGCAGCCCTCTGTCTGATGTGAGGTTGGTATAGATCTTTTCCCATTCTGTAGGCTGTTGTTTTGTCTCGTTGACTGTGTCTTTTTCTTTACAGAAGCTTCTCAGAGGTTAAGATCACTGGCTGTTTTTCCAGAGGTCATGAGTTCAATCCCCAGTCACCACATGGTGACTCCCATCTATCTATAATTATCAACACATAGAAGAATAAAAATAGGCCCATAACACCATACACAAAATTCAAGTCCAAATGGATCTAAGATCTCAACATAAAGCCAACCACACTGAACCTCATGGAAAAGAAAGTAGGAAGTACACTTGAATGCATTGGCACAGGAGACCACTTCCTAAATAGAACCCCAGTAGCACAGACACTGAGAGAAACAATCAATAAATGGGACGTCCTGAATCTCCAAAATTTATCCAGCTCACCTGAAACCTTGTCCCCTCGATCCGTTCCTCCATAGTTCCCACTTCTTTCTTCCCCAACAATGGCCACTCTACTCTCCCTTCTGTGAGTTTGACTGTTAGAGCCCACATGGAAGTGAGGTCACAGGGTGTTTCTCTTCTATGTCTGGCTTGTTTCACCAAATGTGATGTCAAATAGTTCCAGCCATTTTCCTTTAAATGTGCCGATCTGTGGTCTCTATAAAAGCATTACTCTTAGAACACCTGTAATTTCCATTCTTAATATTTCTTGCAGGCATGGTGGGACCTCCTGGGCCACCAGGGATTCCTGGTCCTCCAGGGTTTCCAGGGGAAGCTGGTGTTTCAAAAAGATTTGACTGTGCTCCAGGAGAACCAGGAAAGCCAGGACTACCTGGCCTGCCTGGAGCGCCAGGACCACAGGGCACCCCTGGAGCAGATGGTAAAATATTCCTCATTTATCTATATTAGCGCTTAGTGCTTATGCTGAAATTCAAAATTACAGATTCATTCAGGTGGTATAATTTTCTAAATACTTTAAAACTTTTATATTTCATAAGTTGGTAATATTAAAATTATTTCTTATAAATATGGAAAATGACATTCAACTATCAATTAAGTAATGCAGTTTATTAATTGTGAGTTTAATAATGAAAGATAGAATTTCATGAAATGATAATTTTTTGTTTTATTAACATAGTTTTTAATTTTATTGGATTTATATATGAGCTTGTTTTCAAAGTTGTGCTGTTGTCCAGAGCCTGCTATGCAGAGAAGAAAGGCCAGACTTTGTCTTTTTCTGTTCCTTCCTCCTCAGAGACGACTATTTCCACACATGTGGCTGGATCTTTTGGTGTTTGTTTCTATATTGTCACCTGGCACACCTGTATTTCTCTTACTGAAGTTTTTCTCTTTGTTCATTGGCTTTTGACTCCTCCCCACAGAATTACCCATCATTCACCACACCGCATTCTATATGTACACATTTTCCATTCCCACTGCCTACTGAGAGTGATACTGTCATAACTGAGATCATGGAAATATTTAATATTTCTATGAAATGGTTTTTAAGTTCTATATACCAGCTTAGCCTATAATGATACATTTGTTATTTTTTTCACAGAAGCAGTTGGTAAATTGTCTTTTGTGTGTGTGTCCGTGTTTGATTGACTTTCAATTTAACTATCTGAAATTAACCTCAAACCTACCAGAGTTTTGTATCCATCATCATTCTGACACTGTTAACTCGTTAAGTAGCCTTACAGTATTACTTTCCAAACAATTCTTTCCTGGAGCTTTTTGACTTTTTCAAATTAGCAAGGCAGCACTTTTGATTAATTGCTGAGATACTTGGAGATTTTCTTTCACAACTTTTTAAAAATTATTTTTATAGTATCTAATACCATTTAAACACACTATTGTAGGGAGAATGATAAGAAAAATGTACATTTCTGTACATTTGTGGGTGATCTCCTGGGCGTTTCTTCCCCTTCCCTGCTCCGTACTTCCTCCTGTAGTGACCCCCTTCCATTTCCCCATTTCACAGGCTCCATTGCCCTCCCATTCCTTTCCTTTAAATCTCTTTCCCCCTCTCCAAAACCTCTTTATAGTCTCTTGGCTCCTCTCCTCACATGATTCCACTTAAATACACATATTTAACCTTTGAAAGTTAAGGATTCACATGGGTTTTTCTGAGCCTGGGTTGCCTCAGTATTATATTTTCTGGTTCTATCCATTTTACTGTCACTTATTAATTTCATTATTCTTAAACATGGGATAAAATCCCACTGTGTGTATAAACAACATGCTCATGATCCATGCATGTGTTGATGGACAACAAAATTCCATCTTGTTGCGACTGTGGAAGAACAGTGATAAATGTGGATGACCTTTCACTGCGACCCCTTCTGCATCTCTCAGGCTCCTTGATTTCCACCAGTTAGATTTCTTTCCATTTTTTACTCCCACACTAGACTTTCAATTAAGGATTAGAGATAAGAGAATCACACTTATCTGAAAATACCTTTGCTCTACTGGGTTGTCCGATGGGTAGTTTAGCTGAGTATAAAACTCTGGCTTGGAAATCTTTCTCAGGCTCACTCTCCAGCTCCACTGAGACCATTGAAAACTTCCACACTGTTTCACTGTCTGATCATACGTTTGAAATTCATTTCCATTTTAGAAGATTTTTTGAAATTTTCTTCAACTCCATCTTTCAGCTTTTATTGAATTTATAGATTTTTTGCTATCTTAACTACTGTGTGTATTCTTATTTTTGAGAGTTTACTTGACGCTATTATACTCTTTCAGTTTTTCCTTTTGCAGCAGACTGTCCATTTATCCAGTGCAAAAAGTACCCCTTTGTAGTGTTTTAATTATGTCTTTTTTTTTACAGTGTTCTTGAAACTTTGTTTCCTCCCTTTTGAAGGGGTGTTTTATTTTTTGCAAAAATTTTTGAGAGGGATTTTCCCATCTGAACATTTCATTATCAAATCATTGTTTTGGGCCCCACTGTCACTTTACTCCTTAAACTCCAGGGGAGATTCTGGTGTGAAATCAGCATTTTAACTTTTTCATTTCTTGTTTCTCTTGTCATTTTCCACCGATGCTTGGATCTCAGCATCTTTAAGTTCTGCTGGATTTTTTTTTAACCTTCTATTGTTGTTTTACAGTCTTTTATACTAAGGGAATGTTGGGGAAATGTACAGTGTATCATTTTCAGTTTATCTGTCATCTTTAACTAGATGTGTCAAAAGTTTTGATTCAGCAAGCCATGCTTTGTGTTTTCTTCATTTATCTCACAATTGGAAAATGAAGGGGAAAGGACAACCAGTTGCCAGATTCTGACTCTAGCTTTTGTTGTTCATGATTTATTTTGCTTTGGTATTTATTGTTGTCATCTAATATCTTAGTCTGTAGTCCACTAACCTAGGGCTGGCATTAAGGATGTCTTTGTCAGCAGTTATGGTAGAAAAAACATATTATGAAAATTGTGTGATCTATATGTGTAGGGAGGAAGACAGAAGGAGGGGAAGGCAGGGAGGCAGATGGAAATAGGAAATCATGAAATAAAACCTGGGACAGAGACAGGAAACAGAAGGAAGAAACTGAGTGATTCACACTGGTGCCCTCCAGGGGATGTTATCTAAAGTCACGTGATTCTGTCTGCTACCCCTTTGCCTCCAAACAGTTATATATTGCAGCCCTGGGTGTCCTGGACCAATGGGAGAAAAGGGAAAAATGGGTCCCCCAGGAAGAAGAGGAGCCAAAGGAGAAAAAGGCAAGTCTTTACCTAAGACAGAATTTATACATGAGCCACATATGGAGGACCAGGATGAGGGTATCTATGGGGAAAACAGCCTGGCATGTCAGTCAGGTTTGTCACTCCCCATCCTCTCACCAGTGTGTGCTCTAGAGTGAATAAGTCACCACAACTCAAGTTCTTGGGTCAGACAAGAGCTTCTTACCCTTTGCCACTCAGGACCTGTCTTCACCTGAGAATTTTTTTTTTTTGCAGCTTCAAGCGTATGGGTAAATAAAATAGGTATACAAATCAAACTTTCACCGATAGTACATAACCAAGAAATTTGTTTTAAAAGAATTCTGTAACACATATAAGCACTAGTTATTAAATATGAAAGCAAGTTTGCATACTCACATAAAGGTGTTTATTTTTATGTAAAGAATTTAATCTTGCCCGAATGCTGCAGGATGTAGGGCATCTTCAATGTTTCTGAGAGCAAGCTGATATTTTGATTTTATAGTCAGTGCTGAGAGCATTGCTTTGCATACAAACATAGCCTAAAACAAAGGAAGTACATATAGTACACACAGACATCCCAACTTGTCGGGGCCTTTTGAACATCTGAGCCAGACAGCAGGAGAGCATAAACACAAACCAATTTGACTCTCCCAAACTTTATTTTTTATATTGAAAGTCCTGATCATTAGGAAATGTTTTGCAGTGAACTAGCAACTGTAATGTGCTGCTCAATCAACAATCCCTTCATGCGTTGTGTTTCCTTGATTATTCAGAGTTGTGCCATAATTAATTTAACTATATGGTTAGTATAATTTATTAATTTTTGTTTCCGCAGTAACAGTTTTTTTTTTTAAAAAAAAAGGATTTTCAATTATCTACCAGAATTTTAGGTTAGGGGTGGGTGAGTTTAAGGCACAAAATGTGATTCCATTTATTTGGAAATCGTGTGCCCATCCCACATAGACCATGCCACAGCCGCATCCACCCCGTGCCCAGTGCTTCATTTCAGTCTTCACGTAGCATGTGCTCACCCCGCATAGACTATGTCTACCTCTCTACCATGCTCCGTGCTTCACCTTTGCCCTAGTCATGTTGTTTCATCCTTCAAAGGCCATGCCGCGGCCCCTGTTCCTCTGCATGCTGTGCTCCAGGCTCTTACCGCATGGTCTCGATCTAATAGACCATGCCACGGCCCCCGTCCCGCTGCAGGCTGCACTCCAGGATCTTACCGCATGGTCTCAATCTAATAGACCATGCCATGGTCCCCATCCCTCTGCAGGCTGCACTCCAGGATCTTACCGCATACATAGTCTCTGTCCACATAGGTCATGCCACAGCCCCGTCCTGCCAGCCATACGCTGCACTCCATCCACATGGCCCATGGCCTCAGGTGTCTGTGATAAGAACTGCGCACTGAAGACCTTCTCCTTTTTTAGTCATGCTATTTTTGGAGTAAATAGCTTACTGGGGGTTTTGTCAGGAATCATGTCAAACTGACTTTCTACCTCTGCCTAGGAAATGAGGGACTCTGTACCTGTCCACCTGGTCCCATGGGACCCCCTGGCCCTCCAGGACTTCCTGGGAGACAAGGAAGTAAAGGAGACTTAGGGCTTCCTGGCTGGCACGGGGAAAAGGGTGATCCAGGCCAGCCTGGTGCCGAAGGACGTCCAGGGCCCCCAGTAAGTAACTCCTACTGACCGTCATTTGTTCAGTTAAATAAGACAGACACAGATAGAATCTAGTGTGTGCCTTTCCAAATTAATGCATTATATACATTTTATGTTTGGAACCTTTAAACACCTTAATGACTAAACACCTTCTCGTGTCCATCCATCTACCCATCATTCATTCATTCATTTAACTAATTACTAATTATCAGGTGTCTACTATGTCCCTAATTTTCTGGAGATACAACAGGGACCCAAATATTATATGAAGTTCTGGAGCTTTGGAGACAACCCAGACTTTATAGTAAACACATTGGTAAATACACAATTTGCTATATGAGGACCAAAGGCCACGGACGATAGAATGTGGCTTGATTGGAGACAGGAAGTAAGTAGCAGCAAGGAGGTCCTTGGTTTCATCCCCAGTATACATGTATACACACACACACACACACACACACACACACACACACACACACACACA